GATCATCATCCCCGACACAGCGTTCAACATCCTACAAACTGATATACCGTGAAGTTAGTGAATCGACTGAGCTCAAAAACGTGGTTCGATTTATAGTAATTTCTAAAATCCCATGCAAAGTTTGGATTAAAAAAAATCTGATTAACTTTACTATTATTTACAACGATTTTAATGCCATTATGAATTAATTGCCTGATTAAGCTTTACATGGTATTCGTTTTTAACGAAATTTATTAGTTTTGCATTTACACGAAAATATAAACACTAAACTATAATTTGCTTATATCTACAATAAAAATCTCATTGTTTTACTGTCAAAATACAACACTACAAAATGTATGTTATAGTTACGAATTCTTAGTAGTCTATGTCTATGATGGAAATATGTAGATAAGATGAGAACTTCCCGGTTTATGATCAAAACTAAATTTTATGTGTTTATAAACTAGTTTATGTTTGAAATTACAAAAAACCTTCATTGTTTTTAAACTTTGTTTTTAGTTAGAATTTATGCTTAAATTTACTCAAGATGAGCAAATAACAGAATTATTTTTTACAAAATCTATAATTTATAAAAAAAAACTTTATAATTCCATAATGGCAAAGAAATAAAAATAAAAATCTAACGAGTAAAAGAAAGCTTATATCTTTATAAACCGAAATTAAAATATTGAACCGTCTCTGCAATAATGAAAAAATAATAGATGTTGCTAATTTTTATTCAATAAATTAAGCTACAATTTATTAAATGTGTTTGATATTATATATATTAATATTTATTTTTAGTTCAATATATTTGTTATTCATCGAAAACTGACAAAAAAGGGCTTTTTATAGTGATTTTCGTTTAGCACGGTTTTCACATATAAAAGTGAATTTTTAGAGTTACACGTTTTTTATAAAACACATCTTCCATATATGGATGGGGGATCGCTGTATAGTCAGAACTCTTTTTGCGGACAACATAAAGGAGTCATATTTTTATATAGAAGCTAGTAAGCAACTGAGAAATCCTAGACCGATTTTTTTGCGGCGTAAAGTGAACTTTAATTTTCATGCCGCATAACATGATGAATCAGGACATACGACTTACTATACTAAGGATATGTAGTGAAAAACGTTCGGGTTCAAATAATAGAATGAAACAAGATATTTCCCATTGATATAAAATGCCTGTATAAATTTTACTATACACATGTTAAAATTGAATACTAATATTTAATTCAATTTTCTAGTTTAAAAGTTCTATGAATTTATTATTTCAATGTGTAACTTTTTATACCAGTAAAAATTAATCGAAATATTATTTTTAATTTGCAAAAAAAAGATTGACAAGCGATACAAGAATAAGATTTCCGCGTGGGTGCGCATTGGCGAAACTTGGGAAACAGTAGTGTAACCCATCGTTCAGAATTACGCGAGCGGGGTTGAATACTGAGGCTGCTGCTACCTATTTACATATCGAATAAATTGAAAAACTTACTGCGACGTCTCAATTCTCGGTGATTTCGTTGCGAAATACATATATATTTTTACTACGCGAACTCCGATCGTAAAAATCTCGATCCAATTATTTCGCTCTTTATACTCCGGCTCACCTCGCCCCTGACTGATCTCGAGCTGCGGCATAAACTCGGAACTGGGTTGATTGTGTTGTATGAATAAAATATATATAAATATCTGATTTTGATTTACGTGCCGCAAGGGATTTAACTCGAAAAGTATGCCGCGAACAGTTCTCTCCTTTCTGTCTCTAAGGTGGTTTTCTACGACCGAAACTCTGCGGATAGTGATTTGTTTTTACATGCAAATATAATTCAATTTTATGTATGTAGGGTTTCTACATCTCATGTAATCTTATGTCATGATATGTAAAGAAGGTATTACGTCGAAAGCCTTTATGACGGTAGTAAGATTTTTACTTGAATTTCATGTTTTACAATCGGCTAGGCAGTTTTTATTTTAAAGAAAAACAATTCAAATATATGTCTTAAAAGCAAAGCGCTTACTTCAAATCGGAAAATTTAAATTATCAAGCAAATATTATTTTCATTATAAAATTATTCTTCACTTACGTGATTTTATATGCTATACATTAAATGTTTATTTATTAATAATATAGGAAATATTAATATAGCATTTAACAAAATTTATGAAAATCATAATTTATAGCATTAATAATTATTGGTAATACACTTTCTAACGTATGAAATTCGCATTATAATAAAGAATCTTAATTCGACTCAAACATCCTAGAAATATCATTAAAGTAGTATGTACATTGCTTTTGTGCGATTATTTTTAGTTATCCTTCTCATATACATATTTTATGCGTAAAATGATTGTTTGAAAAATATATGTATATACAAATCAAAATTAAATACCAAAATCTAATTAACGAAATTAGATCAAAAAGCTTAGTTTATTTCGAACGAATTTAATATAATAATTATTCCTATACCGCATTATGACAAAACTCGATGAAATGAAGCAATAAATTATAAAACAATATACAGCTTATGTCTATAGCTTAAGTTTCGTTCAATTAGTCACATAGCTCTGGAAGTTGGGCAGTTGCTTATTATTATTAAACACATAGTTCTTGGAATTACGAGTTCCGCGCAAAGTTTTGGGCGATAACTCATAAGAATATTTCCCAACACATAAGAATACACAAATAAATCTACGATATAAAGGCAAAGTGGAGAGTAAGACATAATAGATGTATATTTTACATAAACATGGAAAATTTATGTGGTTTTGGAATTTTTCAATAAACGCTTTCAATTAAATGCCAATTTTTTAAATGGACTGCGTCGCTGTGACTAATTCGGTCAGTACAAATGTGGTCTATATGTTTTAGTTGAAAGTTTCGCATAATACATTTTAATTTATAAGTTTAAGTTTATAATTACAATAAAAATAATAAAAGAAAATAGGGGAGACTGGGTACGGTTATGTCACTTTTTTATCAGCAATAATTTTGTTAATATACCAGTTAGCTAGAAGAAAAATAAATTAAATGGTAATTTGAACATTTGTCTACGTGAAAATACTGAAATATTGTAGGTACCTAAAGACGATGGATTTTTCATCAAGTCAAATCATACAAGAAAAGGACGAGTGTTACAACCGTCCACACCCAAGAAACGGTTGTTACAGGCATAAAAATAGGTTAAAAATTTTAGATATTATTAACACCAAAATAGTTTATAACGACTTTCATTGTCGTTAATAACAATAATATGTAGCACAACATAACATAAAGATTTAAACAAACTTTCCGAAATCCTTTTGTTTTCTTAATAGAATTTGCATTTACCTTTCTCTTTCGTGTTATATCTTAGTAAAGTTAGATTTTTTTATCTGTTCTATCTTCACCCGAAAAGGACTAGTCACAACCGTACCCACAAAATTTGTCATAACTGTACCAAAGTACTCTTTTAAAACAAATCAACATTATGACTGAGCTAAATTATCTAACACTAATTGCTGGTAAGTAACTAATAATGTTCAACTCACAGCAAAATAACAAAAAGTCATCTACCTGTATACAATTAACAGTTATTATTTGAAAAAAAATCGAATATGATAACTTACTTTTGACTCTTTAACAGCTGCTTATCATCTGTAGTACGATCATTTAATGTAAGGCACTGACTAAAGGCAATAATGAGAATTTGCTCGAACAATCATACTTCATCTTTCTTCCTTTGAACTCTATTTCAAAATCAGTATAGTTTAGATGTTATGACTACTGTCACTACCGTACCCAGTCTCCCCTATTGCTTTAATTGTATAGGCGCTTAATTTTTAGAATAAACATTATTCAAAAGAAAATAGTAAAAAAAAAGATAAAGGAGATTTTCATATGTACCTATATCATACATATTTTGTGTACAATAATTACTATAAAAATCATTTGATCTGAAAAATAGCTATATTGTACAGTACTTTCATATTCTATATATTTGCTGTTAGTTTTTCACCTGATTTTGTTCACCACTCACAATCAGAAATTTTTAAAATAAAGTTATACATTTCCTTTTGCAACACTTGAAAAGAAGTATAATTCGAAATTAAATCTCGTCAACAAGTTCAGAAATAGGGGCAATTTAAACAATTAAATGCAACTGACTTGATGAACATCGTAAATTGAAGTCAGCTTATTGTTAACTTGTTAAAAACCTATCGTCCAATGCCATCGTGCGGTCAATTAATATAATGTGGTGTCACTTATTTATGCATTAATACTCATTAAAAGAAGTCGACCCGAAACCATCCTCGACGACGTGTCCCCAACCCGGATAGACCATAATCCCGACTCAGGGACAGATATCAAGTACACTGAAAATGTACTAAGCAATAAATATCATTTTTTATTGCATCTGTCTGTTGATGCGTTCTCATTCTAACGAATCAAAAAATTCAAATATGTTTTTATGTTCTTTAATAAAAGCACGCGTATTGCATAGCACATAAAATTAATTAAAGACAAGTGGCGCATTTCTAATATTTATTCTCTCCATTTCTTAGTTGGAAAAGATAGCATAAGGTGAAGATGTTTGGAATATATAAAATTTTATCTTACATTGGATATAAGTCTAAAGGGTTTCTACTGAAATTCATGTAAAATTTCTTTGCATACTTTTATATTTAATTAATATTTTAATCATTGGATGTAGAGGTACTAAATAGTTGCGGAAGAGACTAGCTCAACAAAATATGCGATGGCAATATCATTGCTACATTCGGGTATATCTTATATAAACAATTATTTTCTGAATATTCATAGTTCGTTTCATCTGTAGTTTAAACCAAAGATTATATATTGTTGTTTGTATTTCACCGTTAATTAGTTATATATGAAGTCATTCGAGACAGCCGTATCATCTCAAATTAGTTAGTTAGAAGCATGTAATTTAAGACCAATACAAATGTGAAAACAACGTTAAAAGAAAACGAACTGTTTTTTATATATTCTTTATATTATGTTTCAGACGAATGCGGAAAGTGTCGAGCAGGGACAAGAAAGTTAAACATAAACAAGTATTGCAAAAGAGATTACGGTAAGTGCTCGGTTTATCGCATTTCAATAACAGTCGACAACAAAAAATGGCCAACTTATTTGTTTTGGGATGCAAAATCATACTCACAATCAATATTTAATGATAAGCATTATCTTGTTTTTCTTAACTGGATTATTTTCCAAATAAATATGATTATTAAAAAAAAACTCTCTTCTATTTTAACAAAATCTAACATAAATAGCAAAAATTATGTACTCATTAAATTTAAATAATTAAAAAACATTCATAAATTTGTGATTCATAATATTAAAATCTGTTCCACATGGGTAATAGTTAATGAAAAAATTGAAACCAAATTTTTTAGCTAACGGTTAGTTCTTATACCAAGGAATAGTATTAAAGTTTATACTGACAATATATTTCAGCCATCATGGGGAAAGTGTTGGGAAGAGAGAGTATAGCAGTGGCTGGCAAAGGAGCCCCGTCCGATTGGGTGCGATTCACGCTGAACGTGCAGGCCGTGTACAAACGCGGCAGAGAGTCGCGCCTGCGAAGAGGCACCATAGCTCTTTACGTCAGCAGCGCAGATCTCGCATGCAAATGTCCGAAGATTAAAACTAATAGGTAAGTTGCATATAAAATTCACAATATTAAGAGTTAACTAGTGGGGTGCATGGCATCGTGCCTTAAGGCAAATTGCTGGAACTTCCCGTACCGTAATTAAAAATCTTGATACGGAACCCAAAAAAATTTACACAAAATGTATACACATTATTAAAATCTCTATAAAATATCTAATAATTTGATGTACATATGTCCAATAAACATTTTTGACCGCCAAATGACATTTTTTTAACTTATTTTTATTGAGAGTCCATAACCGCTGGACCTGCCTTCCCAAAAATTCAATCAGTTCTTCATCTTGTCAATACAAGTAAAATGTTTTTTGAATGATTAAAATCGGACGCTCCGTTCTCTTAAAAACTGAGTTGCTGTTTGTGGCACTTTTGGCCCCGTATCTTCGGAACGGTTAGACCTGCCTTCGCCAAAATCTAATCAGCACGTCACTTTATCGATACGAATCGAATTATTCAAATCGGTTGATCGGTGTTTCCAAAATCGTCGGAGAAAATTTGTATCCGAACATACATACACACACACACATACCTACATCCATTTTTCCCAAGGATTGCCAAAATGTTCAAAAATCTTTGAAACGTAAAGATATATAAAAAATTTCATTTTCGATTTATTGCGATTACTATAACTTATCCTACGGGAAGTTAATGAGTAAAATTTACAAGAGATTGATTATCACTTTAATAGATTTACGTTTTTCTAAACAATCAAAACAAAATATTGGAGAATTCCAATATCTGGAAGCTTCGATGTATCTGTAATAATTTTCAGATACGTTATCAGATAAAAAAAAATTATATTATCAAAATTTTCAATCATTCAATCAAATTAGTGCATATACCTATCTACTAGTGAGAAGCAAAAAAATTTTTTTTAGAATTAACCAAGATGCAAGATGTAAATTACATATATTTTCTATCCTCATGGCTTTTGTCAAAATTTTAGTACAAGGTGAAGCAAACTGAAATAAACCCTACTAACAATTCTACAAATTCTATCAATTAATATGAAAAAATTTAGTGAACATCGTTGCCCATCTTGGAGCAACAACATAAGTATTATGGTATAATATAGTATTATTGGTAGGCAGAAGTTTGCAAGGTTTAACATACTAAGTTTTCCTTGGAATCAGATTGGAATTCCTATATGATTTCATTCAAATGTAAAATATACCATTCAGTTAAATTAAAAATGATTGAACTTTTCAGGCCCTACTTGATTTTGGGACGAGAATCAGAAGGCACAATGCCTGGTCTTACAGTAGGACAAAAATCCATTGTGATCGAATGGAAAGATGAATGGCAGCGAAGAATGCGCAGATTCCAACGAAGAGGACGAAAATGTCATTAGTTTCCATTACTTACTCCTCTTAGTCCATAATATATTTAATTAACTCAACAAATTTACAATGAAGAGAACAAGTTTTAAAAAATATTTCTTAGCTGAAAGAGGAATTATTTTAAATTCAAGTCATATAATTTTTTATTATATTAAATCTCATTTTAAATCATATTTATATACATATACATATGTATATAAATATCAGTGTATATGTATATATATACATATGTTTGGGTAAATATGAGTATATACCCCAGCATATAGATTTGATTTAGAATCACAAGCAATATGATCTATTACAATATAAATTTGAAACCATATCATACATATAGAGTTTAATTATTATTTAAGATATATTAATTTCTAAGCCTGATATAGAAAAGTATTTTTTTGCTTTAGTTCTAAATCTTGTGATATCGACCGTTTTTCTTTGTGCTCATAAAAAAATATAAAAACGCATATGTATTAACTTATGTGTTGATTATGTTTATTGTTTTATCAAAGATATCAATTCCATTTCATACTATTATATTTGCAAATTTCAAATGTCATCATACGAATAAATTTGCAAATGAAATAGGAATGTTAAATTTGTATATTTGCTTTATTTATATTATAGTAGTGTCCTGAAAGTGTTCGATCACTTGGAGATTTTAAAGTGTAATAATAGTCTTCGATGCATATGACGCATAATATGATCATTATTAACATTAAAAAAGAACTAGAAACTAGGATTCAATGAATGTACTAAAATGTATGAATGATGAGTATATGTGAATAATTTTAATTCAGATTTGTGAGAATTTTAATGTTAGAATTTATATAATAAATAATACTTATATGCATACAGATACTTATTCGCATGCTATTACCTACATGTAATCGATAAAAATTTACAAAAATATGACAAAGATATATGAAAGTTATTTTATATTTTGTTTAATTGCAGAAATATGTTATCTGTATAATGTACAGTATTATATAAGCCATATTTTAAATTATTTTCGAACTAGTGAATTTGCTGTCTCATAGTTATTATGATTTTTTTAAATTCTTGATTTTGTAAAAGCTCTCTATAGCTTACTTTTCCGAATATATTCTAAGATATCATTAAATCAATGCCTAAGGTTTTACAGTACTTACCTACATACAGCATTCCAGATGCTCTTGGTTACTCGAAATCAAATTTTGACCTCCATCACCTATAAAAAAATGAAAATTTAAAATCTCGAAGTATAATCGCATTATATGTGAATATCACTAAGATATTAAACTTGTCAGTCCTTAAATAATAAGTTATATTATAAAAACTAAATAATGTATTTAATAGTTGTATGAATAAATGTTTATACTATTTATAACAAAGTAGAATACTGTAACTCTTACTCAATTTTTTAATTATTGACAACTCTTTCCTGAGACTCTAATAGTAAATATAAGTCTTAATTCAACCAACAAATATAGCATATTAAAAATAAGTAAATTATTATTTGTATACATGTTAGTTTGAAACAACAAATCAAGCGAAATGATTTTAAATATGAATGTATAATCATGATACCTACACTATTGTATTAATAATCATAAAATATATGCAAACAATAAATGTTCTTAATTTAAACTTAATTTTACTAACTGAATCAAACCATGACATTTTTTTAAGCTGAATATCAAGGATCAAGTGGAAATAATAACTGACTAGGTGAGAGTGTAATCATGCCTTAAGAAAAGTTCAAAAACTTTCCGGTATAATAATATTTTAAAATACTGTCTTCGTAAGGACTCAGCTTTTTGACTGCATAAATACTCGCTAATAACATAAAGTTTTGTCCTAAGGGCATCGTTTACTAATTGAAATTTTAATGAAATATTATAATTGAACCACTTTTTGTAAGCCTTTTAGATGTCTGTTAGGACCATGAATTTCAGCTCTAATTTTGGTATCAAACAATTTAGAACTTAAAAAACTTATCCTAAATTATGGATTCCCAATAAATATCGATTTATGCACTAAAATCGAAACATATTTCAACAACGTAGCATGTAATAGCATAATAGACACGTTGTGGTGTTCCGAATTTTAATGATAAACGCGATTCAAAATATACTTACAATGATTTGTTAGTCTAATTCGTATCTAGCATTTATTTCAAAATTGATAATAGTATTAATATATTATATCCACATATTGTCTTCAAAGTACACAAGTTTTGAAAACATTCTACTACATTATTCCATCGGATCAACAACTGACAGATAGATCTTGTGAGACCGCTAGCAACAACAAACATGAGCTGTTGATTCAAAAGTTTTTCAAAACACGATGCAAAAATCGTAAACGTGTGTATGATGTTTGGTCCGATTTGCGATCGAACTTCGTATGATGTTCGTACGTACGTTTGAGGGTATTTGCGCAAACACAGATTTGCGCAAATAATCGTATTGCGGAGCGCCTATAATAGTTTCACTTATTTTGATCAGAATATTCTTCACGTTCGGTTTTTTATAACTATAATTGAAGTAATAATAGTTATGAACTAGTGGGGTGCATGGCATAGTGCCTTAAGGCAAATTGCTGCTACGTTAAAAATCTTGGCACGGAACCCAAAAAAATGTGTACACATTATTAAAATCTCTATAAAATATATCTGATAATTTGATGTACTTATATCCAATAAACATTTTTGGCCGCCAAATGACATTTTTTGAATGATTTTTATTGAGCCGGAGCTGGACCTGCCTTCCCAAAAATATAATTAGTTCTTTATCTTGTCAATACAAGTGAAATTTTTTTTGAATTATTAAAATCTGACGCTCCGTTCTCTTGAAAACTAAGTTACCGATCTTGGCACTTTTTGCCCCGTATCTTAAGAACGGCTAGACCTGCTTTCGCCAAAAACTAATCAGCATGTCTCCTTATCAATACGAATCGAATGTTTTTTGAATTATTCAAATCGTTTCATCCGTGTTCCAGAAATCGTCGATGAAAATTTGCATCCGCACACACACATACATCCATTTTTTCTAAGGTGTGCCAAAATATTCAGAAACCTTTGGAACGTAAATATATAGATATACAAATTTTCATTTTCGATTTTTTTGCGATTACTATAACCATGAGAGGTTACTGGCTTTACATATTTCGCGCGGTTAGATTAAATTCTTACGTCTGCATGGTTTTTGGCACTCAGTCTTAAACTTCAAAAAAAAATTTACAATAAGACAGGAAAAACTCAATAAATAATACGTATAGAATTAGGATCACAAAAACAAAAGCCAAAAAAAGAATTTGTTAAAAGTTAATTTGCCAAACATCCTAATATTATATTATAAATCACTAACTCAAATATATCTTACAAATGTTCTTAAAGAAAATTGAATTAACTCTCTATAAACCTACTGATAACAAACAATTTATGAACATGTGAATACAACTGAATGATCCGAAATCACACTTTTTACAATATTTGTACAGAGCCAATATTCGATTACTAGAAATACAATTATCCCATTTAGGATTTATTTTATTATTTACTTTTCATTTATTACAAATAGCAATCAGAATAATAAGTATTCTAAGAGCTATAAATATTAAAAACATGCATATGTGTGATCACATGAAAATAATTGGCAGACAATTTTAAATTTAATAATAGTCACTTAATTGAGCGATTTAATAAACCAGTTCAAATTTCTGGCCTTGGTCTTTATTGCATTCGCAAACATTTTCTGCGTTTATTTGTTATAATGCTTCATATTGGGAAAGTGATTTTTGTACCAGTTGTTTGATGACTGTGTTGGGATGGGATTTTGTTACTGGTGGTGATGAAGACTACTTGCTAATTACATCTATCACTAATGGTATATTTAAATCATTGTGAATAGTTTTGTTGCTTAGACCAGTAAGATTTTGTGATCTGCATGTGGATTTTGGCTAGTGCATCATAAAAATAATAAAAAAAAGTATTATTTCAGGGCAAAAGTTGAAAATAGCATCGCATGCGCTTCAACATATTTTGAAGTGTAAGTACCAGACACTTATTTGGTTCAAGAGCACAATATTTTAGTTTAGAGCAATCAGAAAAATTTCTCATTTCAATTAACTTTTCAAAGAGATTTTCAGAATTGTCAAATTAAAAATAAAAATAATGCTTATTTTTTATGTTTGTATTTGGCAAATATAACAAATATATATTTATAGATAACTATGAAATATTATGATTACACTAAAGCTACTATAATTATACTTATGAATAAGATAATAATTATACTCCAATAAGCTGAAACATGAGAAAAATATTTATATGCATATCAATATATACTATTTAATATAAATGTGTATATTCATACAAACCCCAGGTTGTATCTTTCCTACTGATAACATTTATGTTTTGAGTTTGACCAATTACTCTCAAATCAGTTCGCTCAATATGCACTGCCAAATCATCAATAATCTCTGGAGAAATAATTATATATTGTATAATTATATACAACTTATGGAATCAGTAATTTGTTAAATATACCATTATGTAAATCAACTTCTGTTCCTATTGATTCTGCAATATTGCGTTGACGTGAAATTATTTGAGAAAGATTTTCAAGGCCTCTATCTTGATCTGCATAATATTGAATATAATATTTTAAATATAATTAGAATAATATAAAATATAATTGTATACTAGTAAGTAAATAATATATGCAACAACAACAAAAACATTTTTCCAAAATTGCTTCAAATAAAATAATAATACTATGAGATGGCTAGATATACAATATTTTAACTCAGTATGAGTATTACTATTCAAATTATATTCATCGTTGCTAATTTGACAACACTAGCATTTAATATATCAGACTTTAATACTCTTTTCGAATTTCTTGATATGCTTATACATATATATACAAAATTTTAATTTGATTACCATTGAATGATGGCTAAGATGCTAGCCGAAACGTATGGATTTTAAATAAATAAACTTTTAAAAAAACTCTCATACTATTTTTATTGATGTTATGCCCGAATATTAAACTCAAATTAAACATATATATCAACATCAAATTCAAGACTATTCAAAAAAAAAAAAAAAAAAAATATATATATATATATATATATATATATATATATATACAAATAAGTCTGTTTTTACACGGTCTTTTTGTACACGGTTTTGATATAACACGGTTTGAAAATTGAATATTTTCAATTTTTTTACACGATTTTATTCCATTTAGCACGATTTGAAATTTTATGTACTTAAATTTGTTTTGTCAAATTTAATTTTTGCGAAGTATGTTCATATCACAAAAAAGTATTTATGAAAGAAAAAAGTCTGAAACCATCGATAGTATCGATAGTTTGCGAACACTAGCCCTTTAGCGCGTACAAACAATTTTTACTGGTCAAAGCAAATGTGAATAGCACTAATTTAGGGGAATTCCCTTTATGTGCATACAATAAAATTTACTGGTCAGATTTAAGTAATAACCTATTCTTTTCGTTCACAACATAGATTTTAGTTCCTGAACTTGCCATACATTTAATTTATATTACTTTTAGATTAGAGTGCATATCTTTTTTATCATTAATTACTATGCTTGTGAAAATAAGCATTATATATTTGATTTAATAAAATAAACATGAATTCTTGTTCTTAAAAATTCTTGTTTTTCACTAATTTTAATAGGTTTTAGAGATTAGGAACAAATCACCCAGTTTTGTATAAGATCAATGTCTTTTTTTACACTTTTTTTTTTACACGGCTTCTTCTGGAACCAATCTACCGTGTGAAAACAGACATAGGTGTATATATATATATATATATATATATATATATATATATATATATATATATATAAGATTAACTTAATCATTACAAAGCTATAGCAATAATTCAAAGTAATAATAATTAGAATGATATTTATGCTTTTTCATTAATATTTTATATAAATATTTTACCAGCTAGCATATTCTGCTTCTGTATTTGCAATTCCTGAGTTGATTTGTTCATATAAGCAGGGGTACTATCAATAAGTGGCTCATCATCACTAGGCCCCCAAGAAGCATTTCCCAAATCTTTAAACTTTGAGTTGGAGTTTGATGGATTCAGTAAAAGATTTCTTTCTTGTTCTGCGCTACTTTTTAATTGATTATTAAATTGTTCTTGCATTTGTACCTCTTTTGATTCTAACACTTCTAATTGCCTCGTCCGTCGCTCACATTCTTCTGCAGTTCTATAACAATAATATTTATACAAATTTCATATTTAACTAATAGAAAAATATGTGAGATATTATAAAACTATACTGATGTATTTCAATCACTATGGGCACATAATAGAGAATATATAAAAGTTACTACTCACAAATAAGGCTTATATATATTCTAACAGTGTTGATATATATATATATATATATATATTAGTGATGTGCCAAGTCGAATCAAGTGATTCGAACCATTCGAATCAAGCCTTTAACGACTTGATTCGAATCAGATTTTACTTGATTCGAATCAACTCGTATCAAGCCGCGAAATATTTACTGTGATAAAACATGTGTGAACACAAATTTTCATAAATATAAAAAAAATGTTTTAATTTAATTCAATATTATAATAATATAAATAATAATAATAATGAATATAAAAAATAATAATAATAAATATAAAATATAAATCTTGAATTAAATCATGCGAGTCACCCGCCTTTAATACGCTTAAATGTATCACCCGACTCCAATTTATATGACTTTAACCGCATTCAAGTCGATATGAATTGATTCGAGTTCCTATGACTCAAACCGACTTATCCCGACTTCAAGTCGTTATGAATTAATTCGAGTTCCTATGACTCAAACCGACTTATCCCGACTTCAAGTCGTTATGAATTAATTCGAGTTCCTATGACTCAAACCGACTTATCCCGACTTCAAGTCGTTATGAATTGATTCGAGTTCCTATGACTCAAACCGACTTATCCCGACTTCAAGTCGGTATGAATTTATCCGAGTTCATACTCAAACTGAATCATACCGACTTGAGTTCGAAACATGTGTCCGTGTTTAGCGTATCGACTTATGGAGATGCAGTGCGTATGGGTCTTGAGTGTTTGTTTATTTTTGACTAAGCGCTGAGAGCAAATTTGTTCATGAAATATCAAAAACTCATTTAGATAATAAATACGCGATTTAGATTTTAATTATTATCAAAATAAACTACACAACGAGTTTTATACACATACAAAATTATTATATTTTAATTATGCAAGTAATGGCAAATTCACACAAATGAAATAATATCAATCTTTACAGTAGTGGATTGAATTTTAAGTCATTCGTAAGACGTTAGATTCAGCTCCCTGTTTAGATTAGATCTAAACAATCAATAATATACACATGCATTCGTTCAACGTAAGATTAAGAATATTGTTTTATATGCTTTAGTGATAGAGAAGTGTTTGGTTATAATTTACTGTAAATTCACTTGAAAGATTAGTTATAATTGTAGCTAGTTTATTATTATATATATAGTATAAATGTATTCATCTCTGCACTTTTTGGAATTAATTGCTTACTAAATTAATTATTTCACTTATAAAATTATTAAAATGATATTATTTCTTCTCTTAAATTATAATTGTTCATATATGAACTTGATTCGAATCAGGTTTTTTTCTGATTCGAATCACTCGAATCAGGAAATTTTCGAGTCGGCACATCACTAATATATATATATATATATATATATATATATATATATATATACCAGGTGTCCTAGACTTTGACGTCAAGCCAAAAAAGATAGTAGGTTGATAGTATTGACCTTAACTGTCCTAAATTTCGAAAAAAAAATTACCACTCACTTGAAAATTATGGGCTTTTAAGTGCAACCTGGAGTTTTGGAGAAGTTATATATTTATTTATTAATATAAACGCTAATCGGCCACGTACATTGAATTTATAATTAAACACTAATAATTTCATTACTTAAACACTAATATAAAATTTAAATACTAACATATAATATAATTCATATAAACTTCATGCATTACACTTTGGTAACTTGCTATAATAATTAATTGCACAAAGTTATGACTATTTATCGGTTATTGTTGATAACTTTTATTTTAATATTGTTCATTTAAACTTTGGATTTGTAACCGTAAATAACATTTCTAAGACCACAGTAAAAAATAATAACAAAATTGCCCCGAGTTTTCAAGAATTAAGCCTTTTTGTTAAACTGTGAATTTAAAATATTTTAAATCGGTCGACTTTGATAAAAAGTACTAAAGTATATAGGCAAGATTCATTAAAAGATGGCACATTTAGTTAGGATGTAAAATGGTCAAACACTTGATAATTTTATTATTGAAAAAAATTCAAGTAAAAAATAAAAACCTAAAATTGACATGGTTTTTGCTAATACATTTTACCAGAAAATACCCCGCAGTATACTATCACCCCTTTTTGGCTTGACGTCAAGGTCTGGGACCCCCCGTATATCCATAAATACTTACATACTTCGAGACTTAGAAGATAGATCTAACTTTTGTCTCAATTGTTTCACTTCTATTGAATATTGTTTGAGCCTCAACCTTATGGCTGCTGATATTCTGGCAAATTCATGAGATGTCCTTTGTTCTTTACCACGCAGGACTAATTGCGACATTATTTCACGGCACAATCTCTCACACCCATCGTGCTCGCTGATCCTAATTAGATAAAACAAAAGTGTTAAAGAAAAATTAATACAATTAACTATAAAGAAAAATTAAATTTTTTGATTAAGTATATTAGCTTATTCATACCAAGGATCATTATCTATATTTATAAGCGCCATAAATGTACACTTATTATTAGATTAAATTAATAGCGACATTAATAACAAATCAATGACAGTTGTTAAATGTCAAATATCAAGCTAAGCAACTTAGGAAAAACAAATTATCTCGTAACAGTAGTATTAAGAACGATCACAGGCGGCGCTACTAGTTACATAATATAATATTGAAAATGAGTTTTGAAAATATTTTATTACTCATATTTTAAATGTAAATAACTAATTTTTCACAATAATTAAAATTATTTATTTTGTATTATTATATAATTATATTGTATATTATATAATTATTTATGTTTGCATTTTTTTGTAATTTAAAAATTATATATTTTTGCTGACAAAGTAATGTTTTTTTATGTTCTGCAACGTCTTGTTTTGATTTTAGTTATTTTTATAAATAGTGTATCGTTTTGCTATTTTATAACATTAGTTATTTAATATTATGTGAGTAAATTAAATTATTGACTAGTTTTATTTACACGATTTTGTTATGCCGACATTTAAATGCAAATGAAATTATCGAATCTTTCTCAATGAATTAACACTTTCACGAAAAAGTAAATATATTATAAAAAACAAACTATGAAAAAATAACATAAATATTTTTATTGATACTGTTAATTATATATATGATATTTTTTCTGTCCAAACTGTTGAATAAGATATGCTTGTCTTACATGCCAAGGACCTTAGTCTAAGGTTACTAATTTTAAGTAATATAAGTTTTTGGGTAAAAGTATTAAATACTATTTGGTATAAGATAAAAACCATAGATCAAAATGGATTAAATAGTTAAGCCAGATATATATTAAATAATTAAGCATTGTAAATGGACAAATATTTAATTATTATTTTGGGATAGCATATGGATCATAGATAAGTAAACATAGATATGGATAACATCTAAGAGAGTTCTTTGAAATAAGGTTCAATTCTAAGCTAAAATATAGAATTTAATCGACGATGATTACGCCTCTTTTGCTGTTTGTAAAATTGATAACAATCCTTATCGGTATTATGAAAATTCTACATGATTTTTTTTATTTAGCGCTTGTGCAATTTACAAAATTCAAAACTTATTAAGTTACAATTTTATTCAATGTTTTTGGAGTGCGCAATATTGATATAAATGTTTCTCAATAAAACAAATATTGACTAATGTTATGTTTACATATCTGGTTTTTAATGATCTTTTAAAGGTAAATAAAATTTGCAAAACAATTTTAAAAATTTCATGCTTGCGATTTTCGACGCCGTCAGGTTGTCGAACCTTGATTGCTGGATAATTAATTATTGAGGTATCTCAGTCGAAGCCAAGACGACGACACAGCAGTTGTTTGGACTGTGATGTGCTATTGCATTTGTTTTTCATAAATTGACGTTAATACTTTTATTTTGTTTTTTTATCATTACTGTAATTTTTTAGAGAAAACTATCCTTCGGTAGCGCTCTGCGCATGTGCAAGTGTCTATGATCGAGGTCGTCGAAATGTAAGTGGTGACATTTCAGTCTCATGCTTGTGTTTTACTATTAAAGAGTTTCTTATTTTAGCCCTTTAAAATAGTGAATATGTTACTATTTAGTTAGTTTGTGGTGGACATTGAAAGTGAATTTCGTATTGAGTGAGCAGTTCTCCACTAAAAAGAGGAATTTATAGTTGATTTTGTTCGGGTGAGTACATCTTCCATCTTTTATCATTTTTTGTCTCGAACTTGACACATAAAATGTCAAACTTATGCTCTATTAATGTGTTAACAATATAAGATGTAGGTATACAGACATATAGAAATTATTTTTATTCACTGTCACTTGCGTTATTAAAAATACTGATATTTATTTGGCTGTCAATTTATGTATGCATTGGCCATGTTTATGTTGTTTTCAAACAGCCATTTCCAATTTTCTTGTTATTCTTTTTGAATAACTAAAGGTGACTGTTTGAAATCTATATTTGCACTGAGCAAAATGTCATAAATCAAATGTGTGATTTGACTTTTTGTTGTTTGAAGCATTCCATATGGCATGCATAATATATGAATATTAGCTTATTATATGTTTATTTTAACATTATTATTTTTTGGTTTTGTGGTTACTTAATTCTATTCATTAAGGCTCATAACATGCATTTTTTCAATAACTACTATTCTATCAGCTTTTTCTTAGAATTTTGGATGATGCATAACATTAAAACATTTGAAAAAAAAGTTATACTAAACATGTCTACTAACAATACATTTTTAACAATTTACAAAACAATATATGCTTTTTATATGAAATAAATTATTCTTGTATTTAACAGCCACCCACGCACACACTCATACACACACACACACACACACACACACACACACATATATATATATATATATATATATATATACATATTATGTTTATATATTGCTTGTTGTTTTACTTAAACAAAGCTAAACTTAACCAAATTTATTTCTGTCTTGTATAATCATAAATTTTAAATCAATTTGCTAAATATTTATATTAAATGTTTTCTTCTTACTATATTTAACATCGTAACATACTTTTTTGCTTGCTAAAAATTTGGTCATTCGTTATCTTGTTGCAAAATGACGTCACGAGGCCAATGGATGAAATCATACTTTCATTTCGTAAATATTTTAATTCCAAAAGTTATATTAACATCCGTGTTGACGTAGTATTTAGATCCGTTTGTGGAAAAGGATTATTCAGTATTATAGAATCATATTAGCCGCATTTTTTATTCAGAGATTATAATTTAACTCCAATTGCAATATGAATTTTTTGCCATTGTTTGATGAAGTTACTAAATTAAAAAATTGTTTCTCGAGCTATTGTTAAAAATGAAGCATAATCTTTAGAACAAAAATGAATCGTATCCCAAATGACTTGACAAATATATCTATATATATATATATATATATATATATATATATATATATATATATATATATAATAGTATTCATTGATATGATGGATTTGCCATGCAAGTTATTGTGGATAATCCATCGATACCTTATCAGGTTATGATAAGAATATTTTTTGTGCCATTGAAGCCAATCTAAGCTATTTTATGCGTGAAACGAATTTTTTTTTTTGAATCAATATTATTAATTACATTGATTACTGCAAAATTATTTCACGCTGCTCGAAAAAAATAAAGAATACTCTAGAAGAATCTGTTTGAAATGAACAATAGGAAATTATCTGTAGTTATGAGTATTCAATCATAAGTAAAGCAAGTAAATTTAATACTATTTGAGAATTTGTTTATTGTTTCTGTAATCAAAATTACTCTCATTATCAAACAAAATGCAATATAGCAAATGATTTGTAAACATATTTGTATTTACTCTTGAGCAAAATAAGTTTATTAACTTCCCGTAGGGTAGTTATAGTAATGGGCCGAAAATCGAGAATGAAATTTTCTTTTTTTGCATATCTTCACGTTTTGAAGGTTTTTGAACATTTTGGCATACCTCAGAAAAAAATGGATGTGTGTGTGTTTTATGTGTCCGCATTTTTTTGTCCACGTTTTCAGGTGCACGAATCAACCAATTTGAATGGTTCAAAAAACATTCGATTTCTATTAATAGAGAGATGTGCTGATTAGTTTTTTGGCAAAAGCAGGTCCAGCCGTTACGGAGATACGGAGCAAAGAGTGCAGAAAATAAAAATTTAGTTTTTAAGAGAACGGAGTACCCGATTTGAATGATCGAAAAAACATTCAATTCGTACTGATGGGGATAAGTGGTGATTAGTTTTTGGCAAAGGCAGGTCCAGCCGTTTCGAAGATACGTAGCTAATTGAATTAATTTGAATTCTAGCTGAAGTTCTAAAGCACACTTATACTTTCAATAATAATTTTAACTTTGCAATTCAGTTTATGTAATACTTATAAATATTAGACAATTTTACAGTATTTATAATAATCTATTCGAAAACATTTAATATTTCTCGAACATTTCGTTACGGTGCGATAAGTACTACGATACCATACAACCCTTTATTGAGCTAGCGTAACTTTCAAGCCACATTCTAAATTTGTTGGTATTTTACCAAATATTTATAGGATTTTTTATGATAACACAATTCTTAATTCTGTAACGTATCCATATTTAAGACCTAAAAAAATCGTTTAAAGATAATAATTAGTTTTTCATATGCATATGTTAGTTTATAATTATAAATTATTTGTTCCCCTATTATTTTTGGATGATTTGATTTGATTTCTATTGATAGGGAGATGTGCTGATTAGTTTTTGGCAAAGGCAGGTCCAGTCGTTACGGCGATACGGAGCAAAGAGTGCAGAAAATACAAATCGAGTTTTTGAGAGAACGGAGTATTCTCTTTGAATGATCCAAAAAACGTTCAATTTGTAATGATTGGGAGAAGTGATGATTATTTTTTGGCAAAGACAGGTCCAGCCATTACGAAGATACATAACAAAATGTGCAAAAAATGGCAGTTTTTGAGAAAACTAAACGTACGATTTGAATGATTTAAAGAACTTTCTGCTTATTTTAACAAAATAATTGGTTTTGAAAAAAAAATTCAATTTAAAAAAAAAATGTATATCGAAAATAATTCAGATTTTTTAATTCTGACTAAAGTTCTAATATATTTTAGACAAATAATTTCAACTTTGTAATTCAGTTTATTTAATTCTTATAAATATTCGACAATGCTACAGTATTTATGTTAATCTATTTGAAAACATTTATTATTCCTCGAACATTTCGTTATGGTACGGGAAGTTCCAGCAATTTGCCTTATGTTATACACCACTAGTTAATTTTAGGCTTGAATTTCAATTGGTTATGTTTTGGTTGAATATTGTTCCCGTTTTTTTTAAACTGTTGGGTTGAAACTTCTCCTTACGTTGTATTTTTAGATGGTAACCCAACGGTTGATCCAGCTATCTTTGATTATTTTATTATTAGTATTTATATATATATATATATATATATATATATATATATATTGATACTGCTCGATATCAGGGATTGAACCCGCTACCCGCCTGATTGTAAACCTAATTGTGCATTGTAGACGCTAAAAAAATTGACTGATTTTTATTGATACATTATTTGTGCAAGTCTTGATAATTTTACTAGTATTATGGACAGGTGTCAATTAAATATACAATAAACTTTACTTCACACAGTTTGCGAACTGTATTAATTATCATTAACAAATCATTTTCACGTGTTCATTATCTTGCTAACCCTTGCAAATGTTTGCCTTTGTGCTGTTCTATTTGTGGAATATGGTAGCTTTGTGCCAGCGGGTGTGCAATTACCGTAATTCGTTTATGACATGTTGATAGATTGAGCCTGATCGATTATAGTTTTCCTATTACATGACGAAGTTATTTTCGAAAAATTGCACACACGACTAATGCTATTTTCCAGATCTACCATCTTTTTTTATCCTCAAGTTTATCAAAGATCTCTTCATACGTTGAGGTATATTTTCTGGTACGGCGTAATGCCTGAATATTTTATTGTATGGATGTACCTATATGTCTACGTATTTTATAGCCTGGCCTTCGCGTTCGTCTACGATATTTATCGAGGAAATTCTGTGCTATGGGATTCTTTAATACGGTTTAGCATTGATATCCAAATTGAAAATTTTTGATCTCGCGCTGATTATGAGATATCATACATAGACTTCGTCATAACACTAATTGTCTTTATATTAAATGTAAATCATTATGCTTTAATCATAAATCTGAATATTTTGGCATACCTTAGAAAAAAAGGATGTATGTGTGTGTGCATGTGTGTATGTGTGTGTGTGTGTGCGTGTGTGTTTGTGTGCGGATACAAATTTTCGTCGACGATTTCGGGAACACCGTTCAACCTATTTGGATAATTAAATAAACATTCGATTCGTATTGAAAAGGAGACTTGCTGAACTAGTATTAAAGATGTTATCAAGGACAAAAGCTTCACTCATAACCAAAAAATAGAAAACCATCCTAACAAACTATTGCAACCGCTTCTATATGAGCCAACAAGCAGAAGACTTAAAAAAAAACTGGCCCATAGATCTACTTGAGTAGATTTATTTTCTTTGAGTGGACGACGCTCAATGAAGTGATCCTGATGCTATTATTTTATTCTTATTATTTTTATATTTTCATTATTATTATTATTATTAATATTATCATTATTATCATTCTCATTATTATTCTTATTGTTATTACTGTTATCATTATCATTATTATTAACTTTCCCGTAGGGTAATTGTAATCGGCCAAAAATCGAAATTGAAAATATTTACATTTCTTCACGTTTTGAAGGTTTCTGAACAGTGTGTATGTATGTATGGATACAAATTTTCGGCCACGTTTTCGTGCGCACAGATCAACCGATTTGGATGGTTCAAAAAACATACGATCCCTATTGATAGGGAGATGTGCTGATTAGTTTTTGGCAAACACAAGTCCAGCCGTTTCGGAGATATGGAGCTAAGAGTTCAGAAAATAGAAATCGAGTTCTTGAGAGATCGGAGTATCCGATTTGAGTGATCCAAAAAACATTCAATTCGTAATGACGGGGAGAAGTCGTGATTAGTTTTTGGCAAAGACAGGTCCAGCGAATACAGAGCTAAATATGCAAAAATGGCAGTTTATGAGAGAACTAAGCGTCCGTTTTGAATGATTCAAAGA